TTTGAGAGATTACTTTCTATACTTTCTTAAAAGGTCTTGTAAAACCTCTTTGTGACAGAACAAGATTTAGTGCTGTTTAAGGATTTATGAAGCTGATCTAGAGAGCATTTCCTTTAGATATTGAGAATCTTTTTCTATGCTATATATTAAAAGGGGATTATCTTCTGCAGAATTTACCTTAACTGCTGGGGGCTATGTTTATTGTAGAATCACAGAATAGTTTGAGTTGGAAGGGACCTGTAAAGGTCACTTAGTCCAACCCCCTGCAGTGAGCAGGGACATCTTCAGCCAGATCAGGTTGCTCAGGGCCATGTCCAACCTGACCTTGAAAGTTTCCAGGGATGGGGCTTCTACCACCTCTCTGGGCAGCCTGTTCCAGTGTTTTGCCACCCTCATCGTAAACATTTTTTTCCTTATATCTAGTCTAAATCTGCTCTCTTTTTGTTTAAAACCATTACTCCATGTGCTATCACAACAGGCCCTGCTAAAAATATTGCCCCCACCTTTGCTGTAGGCCCCCTGTTAAGTACAGAAAGGCTGCTGTAAGGTCTCCCTGGAGCCTTCTCTTCTCCAGGCTGAACAACCCCAACTCTTTCAGCCTGTCCTCACAGGGGAGGTGCTCCAGCCTCCTGATCATTTTTGTTGCCCTCCTCTGGACCCGCTTGAGCAGGTCCATGTCTTTCCTGTGCTGAGGACTCCAGAGCTGGACACAGCACTCCAGGTGGGGTCTCACCAGAGCAGTGTAGAGGGGCAGGATCACCCCCCTTGATCTGGTGCCCACGCTTCTTTTGATGCAGCCCAGAATATGGTTGGCCTTCTGGGCTGTAGTGCACATTGCTGGCTCATGTCCAATTTTTAATCTACCAGTACCCTCAAGCCCTTCTCCACAGGGCTGCTCTCAATCCCTTCATCCTGCAGCCTGTATGGATACTGGGGAATTGCCCTGACCCAGGTGCAGGACCTTGCACTTGGCCTTGTTAAATCTCATGAGGTTCACATGGGCCCACTTCTCGAGCTTGTCCGGGTGTATAGGGGCTATCATCTGCAGTGCTTTGCCACACAGATTCCATTTTAGATGTCAGTTTTTTTGTGTACAACTACAGTCATGCAGAAGAACCATTAGACAACATTAGCTGACAAACGAAATGTGAGGATCAAGAAAGCTTTCTTTTATTACTATTTAGAAAACAGAATTTCAGTAGTAGAGGAGAGAGAAGAGTGTTTGATGAAAGAAGCTGGCATTGAACAGAAGCATCTGCATGTTTCTGTAAAAATTTTGACATCTGTGCTTTGCTTCCATCCTTCTCAGCAAATGTTCATACTTGCTGAAAAGGTGATTATAAGCAGCTAAGAAAAGAGAATAAAATAGTTGATAACAGTAGTGCTCCAACTGAGGGGGTGTACCTCCCTGAATGTGATACTACATTTAAATTTCTTCCTACTCTGCTTTGAGGAAAAAAATCTGTTTGATGGTAATTTTGTACACGAAAAAAATTTTTTTTTTTCTCTTTCTTCCTCATATAAATGTGTGTGCCCATTTAAACACTTAAATAAGAGTTCAAACACTATATGTCCCTGACGTAGAATAATATACAGTGCTTTTGTTTTTTCATACCGGCTTCTTAGGCCCGTTGAGGTATTGTGAACAGACAAACCCAGAGAGCAAGTTCTTTGGCTAGGCTATGGTGCCATGGTTATGTTAACTTTAAAAAATGCATACCTGTTGAGACCAACTAGGTTCTACCATAGGTTATTTTTACCTAACTGCCCTGATTTTGGAGAACACGGTGTTGTTATGCATCCCTGAGAAATGCTCCTATTAGAGCTATTTTAGAGTAAAGTAATAACCTGTTAAAGATTGATAAAGGAGCATGTGGGCATAATGTAATACGTCATTTCCAGTTAATATCTATCTTGAATCATTTAATAACGAAATGGTATGTCTGCTCTTAAATGTTTAATCAGGAAAGGAAAATCTTCCCTCCCAGGCTGGCATGCACAATGCCTGTCAAAGGCAGAAGAACCACATCTCTAGAGATGAAATTTAAAACATCACACTGGCCTTTCATTTATAAAGGCAAGATTCTTCCCACCCATTGGTATATAGAAAGTACCTGTGTCCCCATGTTGTGTAGGTAGGGGTCATAGGAGAAGTCAAGGAGAGTTACAGCCTTGGGCTTAGCAGAGGGCAGGTAGTCATTGTACACCTGGTTTGGGGGAGTAGAGCTAAAGGCTAATCTTGGCAACTCTCAGTCATGGCCAGTGAAGTGAGACACGGCTGTATGGCAGAAGTCGCCTGCACCTCCCAGATGACTGTGTGTGCCTGGAAACCCTTTGCTGGCTCTTTTCTTAGGGCAGGATGTTATTGTGTGCTACAATCCGTTGTAGAGCTGATTTTGTCCTTGGGTATTTGTGGTAGACTGAGGAGTTCTTTTGGTATGTTTGTTTTAGTTTTTCTTCTCTTCCTTCTTCTCTGTGACCAGCATGTTAAGAGGAACTAAAGCTACAATTTCACTTGAAGGGAAATTAGGAAACCTACATGTAACAAGGAGATCTTCATTTTTAGGGGTGTTGTATAGAAACTTAATTTCCTTTCACACAGAAGGTGTATCTGAGGACAGAAGAAATACACCATTGAAAATGCTAATAGTTTTTTTTAAATAGTTTTGCTATCAGTTTGAATAGACTATAGCACATCTTTTTAGTTCAGTTCACAAAATGTATCTGTACACTTAATATTTCATTAGAAGTTTTGACTTGAGAGAATTGATCTCTCTCAGGTTTCTGCAGTCTGCACAGTTCTGTTTACATGAGAAAAATATTCTTTCTGCTGCTGCTTTTGGGATAGAAATGGAATATGAAGAAGTTACATGTTTTGAAACACTGAGAAAAATAAAAGACTGAGTGGTTGGTATATACTGAGTTTTTTCTCATACACTCTGTCCCTAGTCTTTATCAAATTTCCTTTTTCAGTAATGCTTATGACTTTTGTAAAATGTAAAATAAATTTTTAAAAAGGGAAAGAAAGATAGACTTCTATAAAACTTCTTAAAGAAAGAAATTGAATCAGGTTAAATGTAATTTTATTTGCTGGTATTGAAGTGTGAAGTCAGGAATTTTAAGGGCTAATATACCTTACTGAGTGAAATATTTCCTCATTTCTTCTGTTTTGCCACAATTTATCTTCCATCTGGAAACACAGCAAAGTTTGATAACATAATTTGCTCTGAATAAATTTTGGGTCTATAAACTTCAGCATATATGATCAGAGCAATCCAGTTTGGTAACAATGTTATGATAGTGTACTGAAAAAATTCTGGAACAGTTATCCAAATAGAATTCAGTCCTAAGAAACATCTTTCAGGGTGTATCATTTTACTTTAATGACTCCTGGGAATACAATGCTATTCTCTCTTTTTCTCTTCTCTTTTTTTTTTTTACCACTGGCAACTGATCTTTATGAATGGCCATGTCTTGATATAAATATACCATTCTGTTGCTTCTTTGGCATAGATCTTGTCATATTTTTATGAATGTACAACGGAAGTGCCTGATTGTTTTGTTTGGTTTTTCTTTCCTTGGAAGCTGTGCTAGAACTGTTTTTATGGGATGCGGAATTTGTATTCTGTTTTCTATTTCACAGCCTGAGGAGCCACTGCTGTGTATGCTTAGTAAGCTTTATAGCATCTTTGCTCTCTAAAACCAACGAAACTACTTTTTCACTCATTCTAGAAAGCATGAAAAATGTTCTTAACTTTATTTGTTGATGGTATGTTACTTCATAGTCACAATCATATAGGGATGGAATTCAACAATTAAATACCATAACAATTAGGTTCAAACATAATTGTGTGTGCTGGATCAATAGGTCCCAGGTATTGTGCCAAATACAATTAAGATTTTTCCTTTGATGGACACGGGAGATAAAATCCTTTTTTGAATGTAGAAGGTGAATTAGAGTTATCTAAATGCATTACAGACCTATCTTTCTGTACTTCAATCTGAAGTAATTCCTGCATAGTGTTTTTGAAATCACTTACATTAGATTTTCCAAGTATGGAAGAAATTACAATGTGTGTTTGTTTTAGATTAAGTATATACAATTTGATTTCAAATAGTAAGGTAATTTAACTAATGAGTTCTGATCTAGTTGCTGAGAAGCCTATTTTCAGGAGTCAGTACTCACAGTACTTTACTGTTATTTCTAAACGCGAGTCTTCCCTTTGACCAGGTAATGCAGTCTTCTGAGATTTATCTTAAAGTAGGATCTGAGTTGTCTTCCAACTTGGATTTGTCCTGAAATATATTTATTCCTATCTAGTCCTTGCCATAAGATCAGATAATGTGTCTTCTTCCCTATAGCTGTGTCTCAAAGCTCTATATCCTCCCTTCATTCCCCACTTTTTAAAAGGCAAGGTCTCCAACATGTTGCTATGCACATTATTTTTATTTCAGAAATGCTCTTTGATGCATTTTTATCCCAAGACAGTAATAGTGTGTGTGTTTGTTATTTGGGTTTTTTTTTTTTTTGAAATATGGACCTTAATTTTTCAGTTAATGTTCAGGTTTTTCTAGTTTTTTGCTATAGTGAGAGTGAAGTTTAATTAACACTTACATTGCTGTCGTGTTTCTTCTGCTATAGTGGATTTGGTTTGAGTCAGACTTTATCTTACCTGACAAATAAATGAAATGAAGAGCAGGAGGTCTCCATATAAAGAGTCTTGTGGAAAGTGTGGTGACCTCATTTATGAAATGAGGCAGTGAATAATCTTTCTTAAATAGCTGAAACAGGTACGCTGATTTATTGGTTTACTCCTCACATTTTGTCTTGCTGTCTTCATTGTATATATTGTCCGTTCTTAAGGACCCATCTACGAAAAACCAGCAGTGAATGACACAAGTGCTGACTGTTTCTATTTGAATTAAGAATTTTTAGCAACTTGGCTCCACAAAATATCTGGCTGTATAGCATCTGGTAGAATATTCATCTCTGTTTTCAGGTACACTACAATGTTGGGAAAAACCTGGCTGATAAAGGAAATCAAAGCGCTGCAATCAAATACTACAGAGAAGCTGTAAGGTATTAGGAATTTTACTGCTTTAATGAACTATCCTAAAATTGCTTTCATGTTTAACATGAAGAAAATGCTTAGGTATTCATTTTCATGATCTGCAGCATTGCAGAGCTAGCAATTTGCATATAGTAATACATGTCCATACATAATAATCATCTCTTAAATTTTAAATTTTAGGTTGAATCCTAAATACGTACATGCCATGAACAACCTTGGAAATATTCTGAAAGAAAGAAATGAGCTCCAAGAAGCAGAGGAGTTGCTGTCCTTAGCTGTACAAATACAGTAAGTTTAGAACAATGCTAAGCAGTGTTTTGCACCAGCTGAGCAGAAAAATGGTACAGTAGGATCTTGTGCTCCAAATGGTCAATTGTCCTCTCTCTGTTTTTTTTTTTTTCCCAATTTGCCCAGACCTGATTTTGCTGCTGCATGGATGAATCTAGGAATAGTACAGAACAGTTTAAGAAGGTTTGAAGAGGCAGAGCAAAGCTACTGGACAGCAATTAAACACAGGAAAAAATATCCAGATTGTTACTACAATTTAGGGCGGTTGGTAAGTGGTTTTGAATAAATGATAGCTATGACAGGAATCTCTGTCTGTCTGTATATATGTAATTCTGCTATACTATTAAATGCTGATAGTAATTACAGTTTGCTTGATTTCTAGTTCAGGGTGATTTCATATTTTCAGTAGTTTTTCCTATTGTTTTCCCAGTATGCTTCCTTCCATACAACCTTTGGTAGTCCTACGTTTTCATGTAGAGAGGTATAAACAAAAATATAGATTGTGGTCTTTTGTTCAAAAGACATTATTAATAATTTCCCAAGATTAGACTGTTTTGCAGTCATGAGTATATTGCTAGGTAGTAGAACTATGCCAAAAAATTTCCACTTAGATTCTTGGAAATATTTATGTTAAATATTTACTTATTCTCCTATGTAGATTTCTAAATTGTATGCCGTTTTTCTTGCCTATCCTATTGGTACATGCATGTTTGAAAACAAGCCTGGCTCCCAGAGAAAAGCAGGGTAAAATTAGTATATAGCATTCTATCTTCCATACTACCATAGTATTCTTTTTACATTTCTTATTTTTGTCTATACAACCAAGTTCTACTAGAATAGAATGAGACATTAACAATCCTTTAGTGCCTTTAGTGCATGATAGGAAAGTAAAGCAAATCAGAATTAAATTACTGGGGTTTTCTTTCTTTTTAGTATGCAGATTTGAATCGCCATATAGATGCACTGAATGCGTGGAGGAATGCTACAGTTCTGAAACCAGAGCATAGTTTGGCTTGGAACAATATGATTATATTGCTTGATAACACAGGTATAAGCCTATTTGAATGTTTTAATGAATAATTCAGTGTCTAGCAAAACTTAAAGCTTTATCTGTATTTATCTAAAGGTTCTGCCTCTTCTGTGGTTACCCAGACACTCTATAAATATAAGGATACCTTCTGACTCAATGGTTTTAAAGCATCACTTGAAATCCAGCCCATAAATTGAACTTCTGATCCTTATTTGAAATGCCATCATTGTGCAAGCATGTTTGTATTATAGGCAAGACTTCAGAACTTTTAAATCTGTGCTTTGTTGTTCTTCTGAAGTTGTTATCTGTTGAAAACAAAATGGAGGTTTTCTATTGTGTTATTCTGCAGGATTTTATGTTTGTGTGTGTGTGTGGTACCTGGTTTTCTTTAAAAATGCATGTAATCTGCTATTCGTACAATATGTATTCTTGCAGCATGAAAAGTAACTAATAAGGCTGTGTTCAAAGATGCCTTCTCTTTTTCTACTACATGGGCTCCCAGGCAATCTAGCTCAAGCAGAAGCAGTTGGAAGAGAGGCCCTGCAATTAATTCCTAATGATCATTCTCTTATGTTTTCATTGGCAAATGTACTGGGGAAATCGCAAAAATATAAGGTAGGTAACTAGAGCTTTCTGAGTGCTGGGTTTGGGGTTTGGTTGGGTTTTTTCCCGTTTAAACTCTGTGTAAGTTTTTTGTAGAAACTGTTTGAGGAGGTCATTGTGGACTATGACTTAGATAATGAAGTTTCAATGCCCATTTCTGTCACAGTATTGCTGTGTGATTCTGGCCTAAGTTCATCCTACCTTATTTTAGATGCATGGGTTACAAATGTTGCTGCCCTAAACTATGTCAGTGGTCAGTGGAGAGAAATAGGCTCTTAAGCACACTAGAGGGCAGTTAGGGTCTTGTATTGCTTCACTGACAACAGAGAGAGCCTGCTCCGATTTAGAGGCCTTGATTCAGGAACTAAAATTAGATGTGATATGTTAGTCCTTGTGCTTTTGATATGCAAAGGAAGCAAGGTTGACCATTACCCGATATAAATTCTAGCCTCTTTGCCTCAGACGCTACGTAAAATAAATATACACCTATTTGCTAATCCCTGATTGAGGATGGGATACCTGGGTAATCCCAGGATATTATGAGAAAAAGTTTATACATTGAGCAATGTATTGAATTTTCTCTTGAGTGCAGCAGACCAGCCTGTGAGTGGTACCTCAGCATTAGCTACTCACATTTACAAGTAATAATTGTAATGGAACTGATGAGAATGAGATATTTCCAAACAGAATTGTATGAGCTGACAGTGAATAAATCATATACAGTTAATATATTTAGTTGTTTTAATTGACTCCATAGCCACTGATTTATGTATGTGACAGGGACAAATTAATAATCAAGGAAGTTTTTTGTATTCCTCAAAAAAGCATCATTTACTGAACTAACTATGGCTTTTGGGGTTTGATGACCTTTTTGATAGTGATAATGTTAGCAGCACTGAAGGAACATCCTCAGTATATGCAAAGTAAGAAGATTTTATGATGTGAAACTTCTCAGAATAGATACATTTTTCCACCATTTACTGTCTGCACTTAAATTTCTGCAGTCCAGTTCAACTGTGGAGTCATGACCTGTCTGCATGTGAAGCCAGGGCCTGTGGCAACCCAGCACTTGCTTTTGTTTGTGTTCATGATGCTGTTAGACACCCTGTTACTGTTTCTCTAGACTGGCTGGGTTGTTTTCTGTACACACTTATTTCTTTTCTCTTTCCACCTGAGACTATTACAAAATATATTTTTTAGCTTACTTTAACAAAGCTCCAGAAGGATACAAATTAACATCCAGAATGTATAAGGGATAAGGTTATGGAGGAGGTAATTGCTAGGATTATTTCAGTGAGTCATAACTGTGAAAGAATAGAGGATTGTGTAGTTATTCATCAAGAAGAGTATGCAGCGTGACAGAATAAAGAGCATTTATAATGAAATAAGTAGAAAAAATAAGTTGAAAACAAGCTAGAAAACTTCTCCAGGTGTAGGAGAAACAAGTCTGTCTTAGTGGATTTAAAAGATAAAAAAGGAGGTAGTGATTTTGATTGCTAGCTCTGAAAGGTCATTATGCTGCAGGGGGATATGTTGGAGACAAAGTAGAAGTGATAGTAGGGGAAAATGAAGCTTTCAAGTCAGCATCCTGAATAAAGCAAAACAAGCAGTGGAGCCCAGGGAAGAAAGCACGGACTCAGCAAGTCTTTTAGGAGTTCAATATGGAGTAGTAGGTTTGCATAGAGCAAAAAACTTTACTCATCACTTGAAACTGATGAGTTATAACAGGGAGTGCAAATTAAGGGAACTGGAAAGTGGACTCACTCACTTAGAAAAGGTTATGATCTCAGCAGTTGTATTTTGCAGTGCCTGGGAAAAGGGGATACAGGTTTTCTTAAGTGTGAGAATGTTAGATGACAATAAAAAGCATGGAAAATTCAAATTGCTTGTCCACCCCCTCACCGTGTAAAAACAGAGAAGTGGATGGCTCTTTAAGGATTTTTATTGAGTTTGGGATGGAGGGGGGATGGAGACTGTCAAGGTGAGGGAGGTAATTTTCAGAAGTCTGCCTGTCTGTGTCTGATGTGTTGTATAACCTCAGGCATTTCATTTATTATGTTACTTGTTATATGTGTATATAAAAGTTGTTACTGTATTGGCTCTGATGCCGTAAAGTAAGATATGCTCTGAGGTTTTTTTGTTATCTCTTTATTTTAAAAGACATTGAGTCAAAAAGGTTTTACGATGTTATGAGCAATTTCCTTCCGATAATCACACAATATTCTCCTTCAGTTTCAAATGCACTTTGATTTTCAGCAGAAGATGGTTTTCTGAAGTGACCAAAAAAAAACCCCAACCCTTTATGATTTCTGTTTGTATCTAGTCATGAATGATTTATTGTACCAGAAACAAAAGCACATAAAGGATGAGCTGTTTTGGTGGTTTGGTTTTGTTTTTTAATTAACATCTGTTACAGCAAGTTAAAATTCTCCTTTAAATGCTTGTTCTTGTCACAATGGATGAAGAACCAAGCTATCTTTAGTTCTTTGAAAATACGTATGCTGTATTTTTTATATGTATACATCTATGCTTCTTCTCTAAAAAGTACAATAGACTGAAACCATTCAGCATTTTTTGTGTTTGACATAAAGCCAGACTACAATTTTGTGTTCTGGCCTCGGCAGCAGATGGAGTGCAGTGTGCTTACCCAAAGCCTTTGCTATATGCAGTGTGCAAGTTTCTTGGCAACACTCAAAGATTTGGCAAGATACAGCAATTTGAAATATCACTAGTGTACTGGAATGAATATTTACTCCATATATCTACAGTAATATGAATATGATGCACCTTAAATAGCCTTTAATCAGCCAGTATGCCTCTACTAGCTGCTGAGCAAAGTAGTGGTTATAAAAATGTTTTCAGCATGTAGTTGAAGATGTATGGTAATGACAGCCAACTCTAAGAATCTATTTCATTAAATTTTCTGGGAACACATTGCACATGATGTCCCATTGTGCTTCAGCAGGGAAAAGGTGAGTCCGTACATCAGGTGCTTCTCCTTTGTGTAGGTGGCAACTTTTAGGCATAAGACTATGTGCTGGGCAGCATATCTTTCGCTTTGATTGCTGTTAACCTGCCCAGTGAAGAAAGCAGAGATTTACTTATTAGACCAAAATACTAAAATCTGCAGTGGAAAAAATTACAACTTTGTAGGACTTCCGATTACTACATGCTTTCAAGTGTCAATCCACTGTTGATTTTTAGGCTTGGATGGTTGTATGACAAAAGTTTGAGTCTCGATATGTTTCTCAGGTGACTGAGTTAAAACCATAGAATGATTTTGACTGGAAGGACATCCAGAGGTCATCTAGTCCAACCCCGACCCAAACCAGGGCCATGTCCAGTTGAATCTTGAACACCTTTATGGATGGAGATTCTAAAACCTCTCTGGACAGCATCTTCCAGTGCTTGACCCCACTTACGATTAAAAAAAAAAAAAAATTGTTTCCTTTTTATCTATTTGGAATTTTCCGTATGCCAGCTTGCATCCGTTGTGTCTCATCCTGTCTCACAGGCTTGTGAGAAGAGTCTGTCTCCACCTTCTCTGTATCATCTGATCAGGTAGTTATAGATAGCTGTCATGGTTTAAACCTGGCTGGCAACCAAATATACAAGGTCTCCCCCTCCTTTTCTGAAGGCTGAAGAGATCCAGTTCTTTCAGCTGTTTCTTGTATGTCTTGTGCTCCAGCTCCTAACCATCTTGATGGCTCTCTGCTGGACTCACTAAAGTATGTCCATGTCTGTCTTGTAATGGAGAGCCCCAACCTGAGCCCATACTCCAGGTGTGGTTCGCAAGTGCTAATAGAGAAGAAGGATTACTTCACTGGACCTGCTGGCTGTACTTCTACTTAATAGAGCCCAGGGTATTTGCTGTGAGGGTATGCTGATGACTTTTATTCGATTTGCTGTCTGCCAAGCCCACCAGATACATTTCTGTAGAGCTGTCTCCTAGACAGTTGCCTCCCAGCCTGTACTTTTGCATGGGGTTATCCCATGCCAGATGCAGGACTTTGCACTTACTCTTGTTGTATTTCATGTGACTCCTGCAGTCCAATCCTGTTCAACATCTTCATTATTGATCTGGATGATGGGGCAGAGTGCACCCTCAGCAAAGTTTGCAGATGACACAAAACTGGGAGGAGTGGCTGATATGCCAGAGGGTCATGCTGCCACCCAGAGGGACCTCAACAGGCTGGAGAAATGGGCTGGTAAGAAGCTCACACAGTTCAACAAGGGGAAGTGCAAAGCCCTGCAGCTGGAGAGGAACAACCCCAGACACAGTATATGCTGGGGGCCAGCTGGAAACCAACTGAGGAGAAAAGCACCTGGGGGTCCTGGTGGACACCAGATTGATTGAACATGAGCCACCAACGTGCCGTTGCGGCAAAGGCGGCTAATGATATCCTGGGTTGTGTTAGGAGTGTTGCCAGCAGGTTGAAGGAGGTGATCTTTGCCGTCTACTGGTGAAGCCACACCTGGAGTCCTGTGTCCAGTTCCCAGAGAGCCATGGACATGCTGGAGAGAGTCCAGCAAAGGGCCACAAAGATGATGAAGGGGACTGGAGCATCTTTACTATGGGGAAAGGTTGAGCCTGGAGAAGAGAAGTGGCAGGGGGAGGATCTCAGTGTATATAAATACCTGAAGGGAGGGTGCAAAGAGGATGGAGCCAGGCTTTCAGTGGTGCTGAGTGACAGGACAAGACACAATGGGCCCAAACCAAAGCAAGGGATGTTCCCTCTGAACATCAGGAAATGCTTTCTTACTGTGACTGTGACCGAACACTGGAATAGGTTGCCCAGAGAGGTTGTGGAGTCACCATACTTGGAGTTGCTGCCTGGATGTGGTACTGGGCAGCTGGCCCTGCTTGAGCAGGAAGGTTGGACCAGATGACCTCCAGAGGTCCTTTGCAACCTCAACCATTCTGTGATTCCTGCTAGTCCATTTCTCTGTCCTGTTGATGTCCCTCTGAAGAGCAACTCTCCCCTCCAGTGTCTGGACCACTCCCTTCTCTTAAGTGCTTTCTGTAAAGTTTTTGAAAGTGCATTCAGTGCCATTGTCCAAAATGTTAATGAAGACACTAAATAGCATGGGTTTCAAAGAGACCAATGCATCCAGGAACATAATTGTCTGGGTATGAGAATGCTGGAGCTGCTGCTTATGCCTGGGAAAAGCAATATTAAAACTTGTACTATGGAGTTATATACTCCCTAAATTTCCAGATATCTGCCTGCCTTGTTCACTCCTATCCAAGTATTCCTTCTACTGAAACAGGATGTCTTGCAAAAGGATTTGTTAAGAACCCTAGGGTTTGTACTGTACTTGGCCTGAGAAGATTAAGGCACTTTCTGCGTCAGTCTCCCTTGGCTTGAGAGCAACAGCCTCGGCTATGCTCAGCAATGCTTTGAAAGGAGCATGTAGTTTGGATTTGAATTTGGACATTCCAGGAAGCTCTTAAGTCATTCAAAGTTGAGTGACTCAATCTTGACATCAGAAATTTCTTGTCTCCTGAGGGACCTTTACAGAGACTTATTTCATGCTTCACATGAGAAGATGGTGGAACCAAAAATCTGGCTGACAGGTTTTCTTTTTCAGTAGAGCCTGTGTTCTGTTTTGTGGATATGAGTAATAAAAGCTTAGCACAAAGGAAAGGCGTTTTCCCCAGGTTGTTGTTCTCACATACCTCAGACAGTGAATAAGTGCATTCAGACGGAAGCCTACATTGAGGTAACTGTATCTTCAGGTCATGTGCATTGAAATTGAATGGGCAACTTTCCCTAAAACACAGTACAGCATAGAAATCTATGTAAAATTCACTCTCTAAAGTATCTACACTTTCATACAAGTGAGTAAATATGCTCCATTTGGATCGAGGGGGGGCAGGAAATATGCTCTGGAATGAAAGTGTATTAGCAGATGGTTTGGGAAAATAGAAATGTTTTAATTAGAGAATAAATTTAGCATTAAATTGTTCTGTGACTATTTGGTGATGGAGCTCAGGTTTTCTAAGAAGTACTCAGGTATCAACAGTCTTAAGAGTGCACACCACAAGGAATATGGAAAAGAGAACTTGCGAGGAATATTTCCGTTGACTTGATTTTTTTAAGTAACAGGCACTCAGCTACTCTTCATTGCAAACCACTTGAAGCATCTGTTTGAAAGGCTGGAATGCCCCCATTTTCAAAGCTAAAACCTAATTTTAAAGGGAAAGGTATCTAATATCAGTTTGCTCAGATACTGAATTATATTATCCTTAACTTGATTGAATAAGTAGGGAAAACTTCAGTAGGTAATGCTTGAAAATGTTGTAACTGTGACCCCCCCCCCCCACACAAAAAAAAAAAAAAGGCAAGTAAACTGCTTTCCAAACTTCACTAATGCTTAATAGTTCTCTGCTAAAATAACAGAATAGCAGCAGCCTGTGAAAGCATGGCATTTGTTTGTAGCATTATTACTGTTTTCTGGAGGCTGTAGCCACCTGAGCTTACAGGATCATGCAGGTTTAGAATATATATACACGGTGGTATCATATAGATGTGTCATAGTTTGGGAGGGTTTTTAATTACAATCATGGGTAAATTTTGCATTATTCTATGTCCTACAAGAGTAGACTGACCTGTTGACTTGTTCTTCTAAATTATTCAGGAATCTGAAGCTTTGTTCCTCAAGGCAATTAAAGCAAATCCAAATGCTGCCAGTTATCATGGTAATTTGGGTAAGAGCCTTTCTAACTCTTATCAGTTATCAGCTGTATTGTTTGTTTGCTTCATATTCATTGTGTTTAAAAAGAAAAACCACTTTTTTGATCCTTCTTCCTGCTGGGCAGACTTCTATTTTACTTCCTAGAAAAACTGCCAGCCAGAACAGGGCACCAAACCAGAAAAGCTGTCACACAATATGACAGATCAAGAGGGCTGCACAATCCAGCCCAGAGGTAGCTGCACTTCAGTGTCTGCAAATTGGTTCATTTATGCTATGCTTGTAACCCGCAATGAGCTCACCAGATAAGAGCTGCCATTTATGGCTGCAATGTAATTCATTCCTTCATCATTCCCATGCCAGTTCTGCTCCCAGGCTTTGCTCCCGCATTTGGCAACAGAACAAGCAGCCACTGTGCCACCAGCCAGTGAGAGACCCTCACTGGAAACAAATGCTTTAATGTTGTTTTCCAAGTGATTGGCAAGATTGCATGTTATTCAACAATATTGCTAATGAAATTCCTCATTGATGTTCCAGCTGTGCTTTATCATCGCTGGGGAAATCTTGACTTAGCAAAGAAGCACTATGAAGTCTCTCTGAAGCTTGATCCTATGGCACCCGGGACCAGGGAAAACTACAACCTCTTAAGACGAAAACTGGAGCAATTGCAAAAGAAAGGCGGTGCCTGATGTTTCTTTTCAGGTTGTCCGTGCATGCTGTTTGCGATCAATGTTACATGGGTACTTTCGACCATGTAAAGGATTCGGTCATTTTTTTCTCAAAAAATAATAACACCACCAGCACCGCACACTTGAATGTCCAATTATGCCCTCCTACAGATCCTAACATTTCAGCTTGAGGGATCATTTTATTTTTACTCTTGAACTGCTTTTAAAGTCCCTTAGAACATTTTTATAGGTATATGAAAGCAATGCAGATGGAATTTCACAGGTTTCACTTGTAATTTGATATCTTCATCTGTCTTTTTAGTAGCAGGATGAATATCAGAAGGCAGTTTTATTTCTGAAAGTGATTCTTTAAAAAGTGCAATTTCCTGTTTAAATCCTGATCTTTTCAAGTATGAAGAATATATCTCCACTTCTGTTTTATTACTGCCTTCTACTGCCAGTCCTGCAGAGCCAGTGGAAGAATGGATTCTCTCCAGCACATCACTCTGCTCATGCAATTTGAGTTATGCCCTTGTTCTTGTTTCTGGCTTGACTCTGTGAAGTGTTCGGTTTGTGCAGGAGTAAATGAGGACAAGGATTTGGCCATAAATGTTTGTCAGCCAGTGTACTGCTGAGGTATGCTTGAGTGGAGAAAATACTCTTAGATTAAGACAGAGATTTTAGCAAGCAGCAAAGGAAAAGAAGTGTGAGGCAACAGAGTCGTCAGGAGGAGTTTCCGTTCTTGCAGGCAGCCTCATCTAGCATAGACAACTTGGGCAACAAGTCAGAATTGCTTTAGGTCCTGTGGCAGGTCAGAGGTCTAAATACAGTATAGTGTCTGCAGGAGCCAATTCCTGTGTTCTCAGGCATTTCAGTGCTTTCTGGTTAAGAACCTTACACCTTTCAGCTCATGTATGGCTGGTGAGTAAGAAGAGAATTTCTCTGAAAAAGTAACTGGGCAGAGGACCTGACCTTGGCTGTTGATACATTAACTGGAAGTAACTCAGCTTCACCTTTGTCTCCCTTGGCTCTTGTGTTTGCTGAAGTGGCAGTGAAATAAGCATAGCTGTTAGTGCATAAACTGATCCCCCTGATGTGGGATCCTTCAGAGGACGGTATACATTGACACGATGTCACTTTTCAAAACGTGCTGTGCTTTAATACGCGTGTAAACTCTGGCTGTCCAGAGTTGTTTGTCTTGTGCTAATATTTACATTCCTGATTCAGGAAGTAGTCACATGTCTATTTGTTGGGGTGTGGGGTTTTTTTTTGAGATTGGAAGATTGCTATTGGATGTGAAAACTGGGGAACTTTACCTCTCTTTTCGTATTCCTTTATTCTTTCTGACCGTGTCCCGCAGGAAGAAACTGATCAGTGCAGTATTTGCGGCTTTCCCAATTTGTCCAATGGTTATTATATAGGAGATTGTGTAATGGTCTCTATACACAACTCATCTATGTGTGGAGCCATTTAAAGCGTCAAGGGAATGCCTGCCGTAGGACAGAATGTCACGTGACCTTGCCATCTGACCGCCATGTAACCATTCTACAGCTATCCTATGTTGTGAACCTACAATAGGCTACTTTTGCATTATAAATTTGCTTGTAAACCACAGTTGTTTGAAGAACCAAGTGTATCTGCAGAGCACGCTGCAATACTGCAGAGCTACCAAAGCATCCTCTCACAAAGCTAGTTTGAGTACTACAAGTAGTGCAGCTACTTGAATGTAGTATTGTTGCCAGACTAACTGTAAATCCAGCCAGCAAGGCTGTGGCAGTGTGGTGCTGTCCACAAATTTGGCTTTGAATGAGTTAATATGCCTACTTTATATAGTATGTTGCCATACTGATTGGAGCTGAGGTACCAGAGGCATGTACTGGTGCTGGTGCAGTGCTGCTCTCCTGCAAATATAGCCTATTTCTCAGCAGGACTAATTAGTTCATATAGGGTACTAAGTTGATGCAATTGTTTCCGTTTCTTCTGTTTTCTGGACAAAATTTTCAGAAACTAGTTTCTGAATGTATTTGCAGGATATAAACATGCTTTTCGATAAGTATCTGTACTGATCCAGCAGAATGCTGCACCAGTATGGGTAGTCATCTTCTGATAACTGGCATAGTTTAGTCAGTACCAGTTTTTTTTGTACCTGAAACATTCTGGGCCAGACACGCCCTTTGGTACAAACAGCAGACTTTTGAGGCCTTCCGTACATAGCCCGTTATCGTCTGATTTGGAGAACACCTAGCTACTTCAGTCATGCGGTATTAAAGAGTTGGGATCTGGCTGGCTGAACTAGTTTATAGCAGAAGATAAATGTGTTTAATATAATCAGGTCTTTTCTGTATATTTGGAATGTGACATACTGAGTTTAAATTATTATTCTCATCATGAAGTTCACATGTATAGTTTTCCCTGTTGCCTGCCATATTAGCTTTACAGAAACCCCCTAGATCAATATCATGTATGAAGTATGAATTCCCTCTAGGTCATTATAAACCAAAGGTGTTGTAAGAATTCCTTTGTGGAAGTCAGTTTGTCCTACTCAAGAGTCTTAGATGGAAGAGACAGGCCAACGAACTGGATGTTTTGTGGGTACTTGAAAATGGTGTTTACTCTTCAATACAGACAACATAATTTCTTCTTGATTAGTTTTCTGGCTACCTGTATATATTTTTGTGAGGGTTTATTTGGTTTACGTCCTTTTCAGTGCTATGGAAATTCAATGTGATTCCTTGTATGATGGTAATAAGAAGGATACAGTTGCATCCGAGTGTAATGTTGAGGCAGAATTGGGTTCAAAAGAAGCAACAAACAAGACTCCTTTTTTAATAAAAAAATCCTTAAGACTTTCAAAAATGCTAAATATTTTTTTACTTTATTTTCAGAAATATTTTGAGAGTGCGAATAATACAGTGAGTTTTATTAAAATGGTTATAAGGTTAACCTTTTGTTTGTTTTTTCATACTTCATAACTGACTCCTGGAATAGCACAGAACACACAACCTGGAAGAGAGAAAGGTGAAGAAAAAGTGGTTTTGTACATAACTGTTGTTACAAACATTGTCTGTCTTTCCAGCGTGTTGGATTTTTTTCCCCAGGTTACCTTTCCACCATTGCTAATTACAGAAGATTAAAGTTTCCTGCTTATCAGCTGGTCTGCTTGATTCTGTGGTGAAATTAAGGGACCTGGATACATTTTTTTCTCAAAGGCTGCTTGTTCAAATACAGTTCTGAGAGAAGTACAGAATGATTCAACGCACAGAATGGAGTCAGAAAAATACTCACAATGACTTCTGTGGATGACAGTCTCTTTTCACCAAAAAATTCCAAGGGAGTTCCCTAATCATCTATTTCTCTCATGTTTAGACCAATGCCACGTACATGGACTTTCCTGTTATTTAATTTCATACTTAGAATTTAAACTTTAGAGATGTGGATTGTGTGTGTGTTTATGAGCACTCAGAAATAAAAATCTTCAATGCTTTTGAATGGTTTGTTAAAAATACTGGGCCTATTGACTGAGAACTTGTTTCCTTCATATTTGAGAAACCTTTGTCTGAGCTATTAGTCCGAGTTTCTCTGTATAGTCACTGGGAAAAAAACCCAGATAGTCTGGAACATGATTAATCTCATAAAGAAAGCACCTTTAGGATGTGAGGCGTCATATACTTGAAGCAGGTGTTCCTCTTCACTAACCTCAAAGGGTGACTGAGGTGATCGGCTCATAATACACGAAGAAAATCTCACTGCTGCTTTCA